CAGTACCTGAGTGAGAACTCTGTTTAGTTTTTCCCTTGCAAGTAGAGCGACCGTATCCTTTCCTTGATAGTCGCTCCATTGCCCGAGAAAGAACACACCCTCGTGATGAAGTCTGCGTACATCTTCTTCCAAACCCATTTCCTCCCTTACAGTCCCCTCCATCCTCGCATAAGAACCTGATGCCTGTATTTCATTCAATACTCCCGCATCGCAAATATACTTCTTGGGGTCCTTAAAAAACTCCTCCAGCAAGACATCCCAATTGGCGCGCAAAATGCCCCTGCCGTCCAATTCCATCGTAAGAAAATCACTCAGCCTCATGTTGGTGCTGCTCATGGTCCACTGCGGCCACACGTTACTCCCCGCCACATGTCAAGCTGCAGCGTCGGAACCATCACAAGAGCCACGGCGAGGTGCCATCACAACACCCGTGCGGTGAAGCATCCCACTCGCACCACGCAACTGCGGCCAGCAGGTGCCGCTGGCTCCAAAGGACAGTCGCGGCTGTTTCGTCCCGCAGTCCCAATGGCGTTGGGCGTGGCACTCGCACGGCGGGACGGTCGGTGCGCCATGCAGCCGCGCTGCGACGCCTGTCTGTAAAACAGTCAAGGCCCACCGCCTCCGCAGCAACGCAATGTGCAACGAACAACAACACCGCCACATTATCGTCCTTTTCTTTTTCATTTTATTTTGTTCACTTTGAGTGTCGGTTTGCCTCATCACCGACACAAAAAATAACTGCACACCTTCACAGAGGAAGAAATCTTCTGGGCCGCTGGCCGGATTCTGAAATTATCCAAAAAGGACAGGAAAAAAAGCGGTAAATGGAGAGGTATTGAGTTCTCCGTAATGTTTTCCCCAATATGTCTATGTATACACATTCTGCTAATCATTGCCGTTGACTTCCGCACATGGTTAGAATTAGAAACACTTATTCCCCGCGAAGCGGCAGGCCTTTGGGGCTCCTCCAGCCAGAAGGTGGGGATCACAAAGTGGGTGGGACGGCAAAAATAATAATAATAATAATAATTTCGTCTGGCAGCTGTCGGCTCCCTGATTCCCTCAATCGCGGTCTCCCAAAAGACAGTGCGATAAAAGAGAAAAAAGTTGTGGAGAGATATCTTCGTTTGCGCGAGATATGAATTTATTTGGGCAGCCAGCCATCCTCTCAAGTATTCTTTTCACAAAATCCCATGAAAATGAAAAAAAATTATGCGGCCCCTGTAGTGCGCAACAGCCTCTAGTGACGATGCGCCTCTGGTGGAAAAAATAAAATAAAATGAAAAGAGGGTGTGGTGAGTGTGGCACTGCCGATCACAACAGTTCTCTGAAACGAAAGGCATTCACTGTCTAGACCTCGTAGGCACACACATATAAAAAAAAAAATAATTAAGAATCGTTTAAATACTTCCCAATATATTTCACCAAAACAAAATGCACTTTGTTCCCCAATTATTTTTTTCAATTTCCTTGCCTATACCATTTCTAAAAGATTTCTGTATTCACATTTCTCGGATTTTATTTACAAAATCAGTTGTCAACGCAAACTGGTATTGGTGTACCTTTCCGTTCCAGAACGCCACAATCTCGTTTTCAGCGAGGCTCAAATTTTCGGTATTGACGGGACCGCATCTCTGCCAGTTCGTTATCATTGTGCTGTTTTCGTGCTGCACGTAAACAATCTCCCACGACATGTCTCGGGATAATTCCTCCCAACCATTAAAATATGTCGCCATATTATTTTTGAACAGCCTCACAGTGCTGGGTATGGTGTGGTGCTCACCCGCCGTCGTAATCTGCAGCCCAACCAACGTCTTCCGCGGCGAATCAACAAAGAAAAAACCGTCCACCAGCGGAAAGTTTTCAACCTTCGGTATGTACAGCACCCCGTACTCCATCGGAATCCTCGTGACACCACCCTGCAGTTCCTTTAATCCAACGGCACGAGTGGGGTACCCTTGATGGTTTACATTCAGCACCGAGGACCGTGGTTTGGAAGGCGATGGTGGCGGCAGCTCCTTGAGTTCCTTTAATAATGCAATGACAAACTCCCCATACATGAAGGCGCGCAAACCTAATTGTTCCACAAGTTGGGAAGCAAGAGTACCACGCGATGCCAATATTAGCAACAAAAGATCCTTCGCACCCTTTTTCTTTGCCAAACGGTCTGCAATTCGAAACTCGATATCAGTACATATCGATGCGTTGAGAAATACCTCAGTACCTTCAACTTTTCTTTCCCGGACAATCTTCACGAGTTTGTGACACGGATTCTTGGAATACCATTTTTTCTCTTCTCCTCCCATGGAAAAGTACTCTTCAACATCAGTATCTTTGATCGCTGACAAGGCATCATCAACGGCAGCCAAGCGTCTTCCATATTCATTCTCATCAAAGATGTGACGTGGAATCGGCCCCACTTTTTCCATGCGTTTTTCAACCTTCTCCCAGTATCCCGCTTGCTTATCTTGTTCCAGACCTCGTTTCATCCACGCACACATCGCCTTCACATCCACCTCGTCGGGGCAATTCATGATGATTCGACTGGCTTTTAGTTGCGTCTTCCACTCATCATAGTTGTCCAGGTTTGGCGATGACACCACAATCATGCCCCATCCGGTGGAGGGCGCAAAATCTGGGTCGGGCGGCGTTCCTTTCTTTGCCACATCGTAAATAATATACCCTTTCATCCCACGCTGCCACAAACCACCCAAAACACTCTTCGATGTTTTGTTACCCATGTATTTTGTCACGGTTTTGGTGGTTTTGTCAAACACGTACATCGCACTTCCAAAACAGTGGATAACCACTTGGAGCTTCTCCACATCGTAGTGCAGCAGCTGGTAGAGGAGGTACGAGCCGGCATTCATCGACTTCCCGATCCCGGGCGTCCCAATCAACACACGCGGCAAAGGTGAAGGATTGAGAGTCAAATCAGAGTTGCTGAGCCACTTGGTGAGATCGTCAAGGACGATTTGCCACACTCGCTCCACCTCGCAGTTAACACACAAGTCATTACCACATCCATGCGGCCCATTCAGCGTGTACGGCCATCCCCTGTCCGAGGTGAGCACCATCAACACGGGAGGTGCTGCACCGGATTGCTGCACAGCGTCATCCTTTTCGAGAGTGTCACCAACTGCCCTGTACGTCCATGACTTTTTCGGTTTCCCCTCCTTCGCCTCCATTCCAGTCCCCGTTTGCGTCCTTTCGCCGCCAACAACTTCCACCGCATGATGCCACCTCGCATTGTACACAGACTCGTACAATCCCTCCAGATTCATCACTGCACTCGTCGTCGTTGGGTTCCTTGCTTCCTGAAGGGCTGCATCCAAAAACCTTTTGGTGATGTCGCAAACACTTGCTCTTATCTCCGCAGTAGCTGTTGACCACCCCAACAGAGTTCTTAAATGTTTATAGTGGAGCTTCCTTAAATCTTTTTCCATATCCATTTCCTCCCGTACAGCCCTCTCGGCCCCCAAATAAGCATCTGATGCCTGTATTTCGTTCAATACTCCCGCATCGCGGACATACCTCGTGGGGTCCTTGAAAAACTCCTTCAGCAAAACACTCCGATTGGTGTCTGCGACGCCTCTGCCGTCCAATTCCATCTTTAGAAAACGATTCAGCTTCATTTTATAGACGCGAGCTCTTCCTTGAAAAATTGCGTCTTTAATGCTGAGAGTTAAGTTAAAATTGATTTGTTCCTCACGCCTTGCTTTTTCTTCTTCCGCATGACGCCTTGCTTTTTCCTCACGCCTTGCTTTTTCTCCTTCCGCATCACGCCTTTCTTTTTCTTCTATCTCTATCCCAGTGAGTACTCCGTTTAGTTTTCCCCTTGCATGAGAAGAGACCGTGTCCTTTCCCTCATGCTCCCCCCATTGCCTGAGAAAATACACACCCTCGTGATGAAGCTTATAAATAGCCTCCAATAGTATTTTCCTTTCCTCCAGCTCCATTTTCAGCGCTTGGTACGCAGTTAAGTTAAGAATCTCTTCAAGAAGCTGCTGGTCTTGTACGTAAGCATTGGGTCTCCGAACAAACGCCTCCATAATAACATTCCCATTTCTTTCCACAACCCACTCCTCGCCCAAGTTGCTCCGAATGAATTCATTCAGCTTCATGTCAGTCCTGAGAGTGCTTCCCTCCAGCAGAATGTCCTTTACGCTGCTGCTCATGGTCCACTGCGGTCGATACATTCCCTCCAATCTTATGCGAGTCGTAGAGGAGTAATCTGTGTCACCCTCAAATTCCGACCTCGTTCTTCTCCGACCTCCCTGCGAGACATTGGACGATTGACTCTCCACATTGCCGTAAAGTCCTTCCTCGGGCCTTCCAGACATTGTTTCTCCTTGCTTTCTTAGTTAGTTTGAGTTAGATCTAAACAATAACCACCCAAAGCGGAGAATGAGAAAAAGAAATACAATAGGCAGAGTCATGGCTCGAAGCCACAACAAGAGACTCACCCACACAGTGTGACGGCACAGTATTCGGTGCACACCAAATGCACGAGGACCACCACAACGATATGTGGATGTCATCCACCCAGCACAGTGTTGGTGGGTGCCAACAATAACAACAACGTGGTGCGCACGGAGGGCTCCTCCACGCATACCGCTCGCCACGGTCCCGCACCCCTGTGCACATTAACCCTGACACACACACAAAAGTGGGAGGAGAATTCGGTGCAGCAACGGCCACATGCAGGGAGGACAAATCATACACACCGCAACAGCGATGCATCACGGTAATTCCCCACACAACAGAAAAGAGTGCAACCTGCATGCTTTGTGGAAAATATCTGCGGTGTGCATTGGCAAAAGATTGCCGTGACGCTGCCTTTCATATTGCATTCGCCATTCACGTATCACTGGAAAGCACGCAGCCACCACTCCTCCGTTCCGCTCCCCGTGCTGCTCGTGTCGCTCCACTTGAGGAAGTTGTCACCGCACATCCCCCTCACCGTGCACTGCGGAATACAAATCAACCACACGGCAAGAGTGCGGTGCCACCCCGCAAAAAAAATCCCAGGATCTTCCCCACCGCCTCGTGTGGCACGGGCGGCAGTCTCATTATGCCTGCGGAAGGCCTTTTTTCCAAAGAAGAACGCGGCCCCACCACACGCCCGTAAAAACGTTTTGTCTGTCGCACGCAAAGGACTGGAGCGGGAGAACAGCAGGAAAGACAACACCGGCAGCCATGAGCAGCCCGCACACGCCAACACACCGCTGCCCCACATATCACCAAAAATAAAAATAACAAAGAAACATGCCACATCCCAACTGCAAATCGCAAGTGCGGTTGCAGCTGACACTCCAACCTCCTGGGCGTGTGCGGCCCCTCGCTGCTCGGCGCTCCAAGTGGGATCACCAAAAGTACCAATTCGGGAACATTCGACCACCGCCACAGCAGTCACGCTCCCCATTTCTCACAAAGGCAAAGGCTTGCAGTGGCGCAGCGGACGGCGGCACGCACAGTCTCAGAGTAATGAACTGCCGCGGGAATCACGCAATGGCGATGCGCCCCTCCTTTTGGGAAGCCCAACAAAAAACATGTGTCGCGCAGTCCCCGTGAGCAACACACATTGAACCGTATTCAGCTCCACTACTGTGGCCATCCGCACACACAGCATGAGTGCGACAACGCAGGCCAGGAAGCACGGAATAACACCACTCATCCCTCCCATAAAGGTCAGGCGGCGTCCGTGCTGCCCTCAACAATAATTCCACCCCACATCACCCTTCTGCATATCCGCAGCAAAAAGACCCACACGGTGCACACTACATTCGAAGTTCCTAAAGCGCAAAAGACGGATCATCAGAGTGCTGCACTCTTCTCAATGTTGAGTAGAAGCTCTCCGATCCTTGTCGCCGCCAGCCTGCGGTATTATGGAGGGGCATTACGTTCTCGGCATATCTCTCCATTTTCCCTCGCTGTCCCGACGCCGCAAATGAAGTGACGTCCCGCAAGTGATTTCGACCGTTCTGAAGAACGTGACGTGTCAGACGCGCTGAAACTGTGTGCGCGTGTGTGTTATTACGGGCGAGCGACACAATGCTCTTGCACATCCATGTATGCCGATCCTGCGCAACATCCCATTTGGCGGCGCGGAAAACTTTGGACACCAAAGACGCACAAATCGCAAAATGAATGCCGCTGGAAAAAAAATAATAATAACGTCAACACAGACACCGTGAACGAACAGATTAACAAAAGAAAACCAACCTCTGCGCGTCCTCCCGCAAGAAGGTGAAGACACACACGCTTGTTCCCTTTAATTTCACTCCAACTGCTCGGAATTGATGGGTCTATAGTAGGAGGAAACACGCCACTCTTCCCTCGCTCTGTCACGAGGCATGGAAGCTGCGAGAGGCTGCCAAGATGAGCCTCACGTGTGTGGACCCCAATGCTCGGGGCAGGTCGACAGCCACCCACACTCACCCCCCACTCACAAAAGGGCAAGGACAAGGAGAAGAGAAGCCCGCCGCACAGTGCATTCAAGAAGACACACGCAGAAGCACCGCCATCCACACCGTACCGCAAAACAGCAATGCGAATAGCACACACCCACAGCCACAACAAGAGGAACGAGGCGCATCCAAGTTCACCACAGTCCTTTACTTACCTCTGCCCCGAAGGAATAGCGTTACGCCTCACAGCAGGTCGTGGCGGTGGCGCCCCACACTCACAGTGAGGCACGGCGCACACCATCCGCTCCCCTCCGAGCGCACTCAACAGGGCGCCCAGTCACCCTCGCACCATCGCAATGGGGGAACACAAACGATCGTCGTCGCGGACTATCGATGCTTCTAGCAGAAAAGAAAAAGTGATGAGAGCGTGTCAACTGCACAGCTAGCAGTGGGATACCCAATGGGACACAAAGACACATAGTGGCATTCAGCAAAGCAAATAATAAAACAAGCCGCAGCAAATTGCCAAATACAGAAAACCAAGAAAAAGGGCGTAGGTTCAGCAAAAATAAATAAATAAATAATAATAATAAGGAAAAAAAGAAATAAATCACCTCAGTGGACTTTCATTTCGTGCATCCCTCAGCGCAGCAGGAATTGTGCATCTCCATATGTTGCTTACAGAGAGGGGAAAAAAAGATCGCAGTGTTCCACGTGTCCACACGAAATCCCTCACATTTCATGAGGCACTCGGCCTCTTCCTCCAACCCTCGTTTTGTACAGTCCGCGGGACTGCACAGCAATGAGGCCGGCACCGCGTGCGGTGCAACAAAAGCAAATAAAACAGGGGGAAACACGTCACTCATGAGAGTGTGCAGCTAGCGGCAAACGAAAAATAAATTAAAAAATAGTAAAAAGGCAGGGGTTCTGATCCCTCCAACAAGGCACCAGCAGCACATTATATCCAGAGGTGAAAACAAAAGGGATAAATAAAAAGTCCTCAACGGAGTGCATTGAGTCTTCCTGAAAAGCTGCACACCCTTTTCCACGGGGAGTCGCGGCTCCACTCCCACCTTCTCACACAGCTGAGAGCTGCAATGCCCAGAGCCCCAGAAGGAGAAGCAACAAGATCCGAGGCACACACACACACACACCGTGCCGTAGCCACTAGAGTCCTTCTCCAAAAAAGTGTTGTTCGTGAGCTGAGAGGCGTTTCTATCTTTGGAGCCACCGCCAGTTCCCGCTGGATCATCCGGTCCTTCAAACACTTTCCCAGAAAGAGACTCTGGAAGAGCAAGGTTGCTGGCACCAACTTTTGCGGCTTCTTCCCGGGTCAATATGCGGTTGTACAGAAAGACACTCGTCACTGTCAAATACTTGTTTTGGCTCCCGGTGTCGCTCGCACTGCTCCCATCCCCTCCAATGTAAAAGTGTGAATTCGCGCGTGGCCCCTTTCCCGATGATGATGTCGTTTCAGCATCCCACACATACTCACCATTGATCTATACGAAGGCCTTGTTGCCGGTCCTGCAGCGTGAGCACCACTCGTTATTGTTTGTTCAACTCCCAAAGGCCGGTGTGTTTGTTTGCGTTGAACATCCCCAACTCCTTTCATGGCTGTGCGACAGTCCAGAGTGCGCAGTGCGGCCTGTTTCCTTCGCGCCAATCAAAGGGATACTCTTGGCGCCTGCGTGTGTCTCGCAAATAGCCACCGTCGCCACAAGAGAGAATTCGTAATTCACAAAGCCACAGTGATTATTATCCTCCCAACGGTTCACGGGTAACATTGCCCTGCGAATTGAGGCCCATTTGTGACATTGTTGTCATTCGTCACCGTTGCAATCATGCAACGGCACTCGTCGATACACGTGTTGGCAGTGCCTGCGTTGGAAAGATATCCAAACAGACCCACCGTACATACGGACGACGCGGAGAAAGAATCGTCCACGTCCGCCCAATTACGGAGGATGGAAGTGATCATCTGCAGCTCCTCCGTCAGGGGGGCAGGAAACAGGCTGCTTTTCTCTTCATTGTCCCTCGCTCCCACAAGGTGCAACGCACCATCCGAGTACAGCAGGGCGTTGGCAATCAGCTTATTCAGAACAGTGTCCATGTAAGCCGGTCCAACACAAAACACGCGGTTGCTGTCAGTCACCCAAACGCAGAGCGCATGGGCCTCACTCTCCCACCACGGGGAGCTCACTTCCCAAGCCTACAGCATGACGCTCTCTCCTCCAACGGTCGCAGTGACAATGGCTCCCACACGCAAGCTCTTTTCCCAAAGATCCGATTGTGAATTGGCCCAAACGCCTGCAATTGCCCCGGGTAATTCCACCCACATTGTCCCCTTGTCACGTGACTCGTGCACTCTGCAGTACCGGCTCCCATAGCAATGAGTAATCACGAGAAGTTGTCCCTGCTCCCACTCGGCAATGAGAAGGTCAATGCAGTCCGCAGGAAAAATGCCCCTTGAAAGCACTCAGCTTCTGCCGCCGTCCGTCGAACAGATGATCATGGAGAAATCGTCTTTTTCGTCATTGTACGCAATCACGGGGACACAAGCGTGCCATTCAAAACACCTGAGCCACAAAAAACCCTTCAATCCATTCGCACCGCGTTCGTGAGTCCGGGAATGATCTGTGATCACAGCAATTTGGGTTCACACCAGTGGATCAGCTCGCTCCGTCTGCCGTCATTGGGCTGCGTAAATTCACCCACAACCAGTTGAACATCACGGTCTCTCAACGCCCAATTGAACCCACCATTCGTACCAAAATTTTGCTAGCTTCCCGCACGAAGAAACGCCCTATTGCCGCTCTCAATTGCCGTGGGATTGAAAGCGGAGCCTACAACACCCTTTATATTCGCTGTGCTCAATAAGATGTGTGTATTCCGGCCATTATTAAACCCATAAAAAAAAGAAGACAGATTACACGCAAAAAAGATGGAACCCGCCACAATATCCGCATGAGAAAGCACACTCGGTGCCCCATCGTTATCATTAAGCGTCGTGTAACCTCCATCAAAGACAACCGTCACTCCACCAACACCCACAAGAGCGAGCGATCCAAATGAATCCCTCCTTCCACTTGCACCAGTCCCATTCTTCGGTTCCAAATGCGTTCGTCCCAAAACAAAATAAAGGCCACCCACGACAGCCGCGCAATAAATTGATTCTCCCCCGTCGATGCGGTCGCAGCTCCAGTGCCGCAGAAAATCATCATGACGAGAAGAAGCAGCACCCCGAAAGCAAACACGCGCCGGGACATGTTGGGCCTCTGCAGCTCACTCTCTCTTCCCTCCCTCCTCCTTCCGCTGGATCCGGTCACGCGGCGACGGTTGTGTGTGCGGGGTGCCTTCACTGCAGCAACACGTTAGAGCACATAAATATGTATGTGTGGGCGGTGTGTGTGTGCTGTTGTTGGTCCTTTCAGTGCCTTCAAATTTCACAGTAGCGTTTATCGCTTGTCTTCCCTTCTTTCCTAGCGTGTGCCTGTGTTCAAGAAGTGGAGAGGGCAGCAGCAGCAGCGGCAATGCATCAGGCACGTCCGTGGGGAGCAGAGCAGAGCACCCACGAGGAGTGCGGAACACGATAAAAGCGCCAGTCTCGGGAAGAGCACAGCCAACGCCATCACCCTGACCGGCAACTCCACACCAGCCCTCACGCACACACATGCACCATAGCAATGCCGTCAGTCCGCCATGGAAGAGGAGAAGTAACCCACAGCCGGCACACAGCGCACACCGAGCGAGCAACCACCCAAAGAGACACACGCGGAGGCGGATCCTTATTCACCCATGACGCGGGCGCCTCACTCCACGCGGTCACACGGAATGGAATTTGATGCCCGACTCAAAGCGGTCATAGATGTTGCATCACACCCGCAGGAAGAGTGACTCGCCGTGCGCGCTCCCTCTCCCCTCCTTCCCTTCATGCCCACTAAAAGAGGCAGCAGCCACCCGCAACCGCCAGCACACGCTACAAAAGAAGCATCAAAATCCGCTGCAATGTGCATCTTGTGCGTGCATGTGGTTGTGTGTGCCTGCAGACACACGAGGCAAAAAAGTAAAAACAGGAGCAGAGCATGTGAGGGGACGCACAAACTAAAATGTACGGCAGAAGTGCATGGCAGAAATAAAGAGAAAAAGACTGCTCAAGCTCATGATATTGCACTGCAGACAAAGCAGCGGCAATTCATTAAAAACTTATTAAAATTAAAGAAAAATTCATCTTCACCTTCCACACCTCACACTTTGAAAAGAAGGAAAAAAAAATGAAAAAAAAAAAAGAAAAAGAAGAAATGTCGTCCTCTATTACGGTTACACACAAAAATGAAGAAAAAAAAGGAAAAAAAGAACCACACAAAAAGCACCTAACTACCATGTTGCTCCAGAAATTGTCTGCATATTTTGTCCGAAAATAAATTTTAAAAGATATTTAAATGTCCTTCAACCGTCCGACCCTCCATGTGTCCGCACATCGTTTATATTTCATGGGGTCATCTGCGTGTTGCTGCTCCCCTCAGCCCTCTCATCGGCGCGTGAGTGCGGCCCACAGAGCACAGTCACTCGTGTGTGGGGACTGAGAGAAGCACGCAGAAATGACGGGAGTCGCGTCACTTCATCGGGAGAGTGAGCGCCGCAAAAGAAAAAAAAAATCATCGGAGGGAGAGAAGTACTGACGGGACTGCCGGCACGAAGGGTGCGACAGCGCATGAAATAAACACACAAAGCAAGCAAAACTCCTTTTTAAAAGCGGCAGGGTGTGGCTGTGTGTGTGGCGCTGCGGGTGTCTGCCCGCCCTGGCCGCAAGAAAACAAAACAAGAGGGAAAGAAATGTGTGCTCCGCCCCACCGGGCCTCGTCGCACGCCCACACGTCACGGCTCCCTCAGCGCGCCGTTCGTCGCGGCCCCTCCTCATGCGTGCAGCAGGCGAGGCGCACAGGGCCGTCGTCATGAGCGTGTCGGTGGGTGTGCGAGTGGAGCAGTTGGGCGGAAACACACGGCACCCTCACAGGAAGAGTGCAGCAACAAACAATTGAAGAGGGAAGAGTAGAAAAGAAAAAACGTCCATAGTGATTGTCCTAAAACAACAAGCAAGATAAGGGAAAGTGGTTTGCAGAAAAAAAAAAGAAAAAGAAAAAGGAAGTGGAATTTAAAAAACTCATTGAGTAATGCTGGGATGCCGCTCAGCTGTTGCTCCACAGAATTTCGCAACTTTGCTCTCCCCAATTCATTCAACAGAGAGCCACAATACCCCACAGCCCCAGAAGCAGCAACAACACCCGAGACACACACACATGCACGGTGCTCTCAGCAATTAGAGCCATGGCCGCCAAGTCGCCGTAATGAGCGTGCTCAAGCAAAATTTCAGTGTCCGAGGGTGTTGTAGCGTTGGACTCCGACGGGATCGCGGTTTCCCCAGGCGTGGTGTTTGTGTTGCCCGGTGCGGTGTCGACCGTCTGTGGCACTTGCTTGCTGTCTTCAAAAAAGAATTCGTCTCCTTCAATCCGAGAGACGTCGTCAGTGTTCTCCGCGGATGTTGTTTCGGCGTCACTCTTTGAAGGAGTGAGGCTGCTGTCTGAGCCCATTGTTCTCTCGAAATTTCCGTCCCCCACCTCGAGGCTGAGGCTTTCCTCCGTGCCGGTGGTTCTGGTTCCAGTGGACCGCACGTCGTTGTTTTCAGCGGAAAGCTCAACGCTTTGTTGCACTTGGTGCTCACCGTACACTGATGCAGCGGCAGTGGCCATACTCAACGACGCACCGACTGGAGACGTTGATTCGCCACTCCTGTCATTTGCTTCTCCCTCCTCCTCTGGCTGCTCTTCAGCATAACTTCCAGAGGACATTTCAACATCGGTAACCTCCGTTAATTCCGCTGGCTGTGGGTCTTGTGGATGCAGGTCTGAACCCCGTTGCATCGATCCATTGTCTTCATTCAGCGTGGCTTGCTGAAACGTTTCGCCTTCGGAAAGCTGGGCATTGTCCTCTGGACGAGAAGCCCCTGCACTCTCCGTTGCAATGGCGGGTTCAGAAACAGATGATCCCGCGGCAGCCTCGGAAGGGGACGCTGCAAGCACCGGATCATCAACTATTTCTTCCTCTTCTTCGTCAGGATCATACTCATTCAATTCCTCATAGCTGGTGCTTTCTTTGCTATTTGACTCGGAAGCAACCGAAGCGTCTGTGCTGGCCACCTGTCCTGTGGGATGTTTCTCAGCGCCAAGTGATGGAATAGTGACTTTGCTGGCATGGAGTTCATAAAGTTCAATTCCCAACAGTTCGTTGTACAGCATGACGTTGGTCACCGTCACATGGCCGCCCGTTGCACTTTGGTCCTTACTGTCCCCACCGATGTAGAAGTGTGAGATCCTGCGTGAGTTGAACAGTTTTTCATCATATTTCGTCTTCTGGATTTCATCCTTATCCACAACGACAGTCCATTCAACATAATTCATTTTCAGTACCACCTGATACGTCCTGTTTGGTTTCCACTCAACAAAATCCTCCGCATCACCAGCACCCTCCGGTATGGCCAACCACTTCTTGTCATGGGTGTACGACAGACCAAAAAGCACCGTGCTGTCGGTGTCATTCATCCTCACGCCCACCAAAGGAATGCTGCTGCCACTCTGCGGCACCTCGTGGATGGACACCGTCGCCACAAGAGTGAACTCGGTGTTAGCAAAGTAGTACGGCACAGTCTGCCCCATGTCGCCAACAGGCCACTCCGCCCACGCTCCGGGTCCTTTGAACGTCAATCCATTGGGAACCCCTATCCTTTTTTCCGCCGGTCCATGTACAATGGCGTTCACGCCAAGGTACTCGTCCCTCCATGTGTTCTCAGAGAAGTTACCAGACAAGAAGCCAACAACCCCATCAGTGGGAACACGACCTTTACACATACGCTTTTTGCGCGCGTCAACGGTGCCACTTGAACCGGGACTGCATGTTTTCAAGGCGCTGTCCAAATCCTTCCATGTCTTCACCACTTCCTGTATCCGCTCCAGTTTCTCGGTCAGACGCACAGCAACAAGATTGTATTTTTCGTCTTTCTTGTTCTCGTACAGTGAAATCAACTCTTTATTGTTATCTTTTATCAACAGCGAGCTCGCGGCAGCGTCATCATTTTCACGAGACACCGGCCCAACATCATACACACGTGCCGTGTCCGTCACCCAAAGATGAAGCCGACCTTTTCCATTGTCGTTCTCATACACTGGCGCGGTGATGAGCATCACCTTCTTTTCCTCAATGATTGCAGTGGTGGATCCGCTCTGGACACCGTGCCCTGATCGATTGTGTGAGTTGCCCCACACGCGGGTAATTGGTTGACGATCTGGATACCAATTGCCTCCATTCTCAGTGGACATGTAAACGTCATAGTAGCCTCCATCACAATGAGCCATCATGAAGAGTCTTTCGTCGTCCTCGTCTTCTTCCCACTTCACCAGGGTTGGATCCCTGCAGCCCTTACCAGGCGTCTCGAATGGAAGCTCCCATTTGTTCTCTGACGGGTCAAAACTCATGGACAGCAAAACGCTCGTTCCATCCTTGCCTTTGGCCTGCATGGGAAATACAAGCGAGCCGTCACGCATCACAGCACCCGATCCTCCACCGCCAATTAACTCGGTCAAGGAAACAGATGCTCCTTTTCGTTGAGGGTTCACCACATGGGTCTTATTCCATCTGATTTTCTTCTTTTCACCATCCACCGTGACAGTTCCCTTCACGAGTAAAAGACCCCGCTCATTCGTATCTTCAACCGGCGGCTTTGTACGGCTTTGGTTTCCCAGGAGCATATAGACACTGTCCTCAATTACAACTGTCGTTGGTCGCAACAATTCCGTTGTCCTAAAATTATTCGCGGCGGTGTCCCCAAGTTGCATGCAAAACAAACTTATATCCGACGTCAAAATATCCATTGGGTCATCCTTTATATCCAGGTGCTTTGACACAATCCCAGCACAGCTGCCGACTCCATTCCTTTCCCCGCACTGCGCTTCAGCAACGGCAAATACATCATCACCCACTTTAACGAGGCCAGGAACGCGGAGCGAGGTGATTTTCCTTCCGTCCTCGTTAAACTCCTTCCAATTAGCAAATGATACCGACTTCGTCCCCTTAAACGGGTCAACAGCGGCCCCTGCCTGCTCAACGGCCGCAGCTCCACGGTCGCAGAAAATCATCATGACGAGAAGGAGCAGCACCGCGGAAGTAAACACACGCCGGGACATTTTTAGCCTCTGCGGCTCACTCTCTCTTCCTTCCCTCCTCCTTCCGCTGGATCCGGTCACGCGGCGACGGTTGTGTTTGTTGGGTGCCTTCACTGCAGCAACACGTGAGAGCATAAAAATATGTGTGTGTGGTGTGTGCTGTTGGTCCTTTCAGTGCCTTCGAATTTCACAGTGGTGATTAGCGTTTGGTTGCTTTCTTTCCTAGCGTGTCTGTGTCCAAGAAGTGGAGAAGGCAGCAACAGTGGCAGCACATCAGACACGTCAGTGGGGAGCAGAGCAGAGCACCCACGCAAAGTGCAGGACTTGAGAGAACACAGAAGGAACAGCATGGAAAACAATTGCACACAGAAAACAAAAAAACACGGCAAGTCACGGCGGAAGCCAACACACACGCACAGAGAGAGAGAGAGAGACATGCACGCGGAATTTTATTATTCGGCGACGCCATTCAAAGTCCTACCAAAACAGTCCGCAAGTGATACAGTGATCGGTCACACGCTCCCGGTGGACCGCCGCGGCAACGACGCGGACACAAAAGGAATTACCTGCACAAACGTGGGCGGCACCAATTCACAGCACAGTCACACGACACTCGCTCTCTCGGTCCATCCCACGTCCCACCTCAAAAGGCCGCGGCAAACATCAATCAATAAAAAAATGAAGCGGGAAAAACAACCTCCCTGCAGGCACTTCAGGGCTCCACAGCAACGCCACCAACAGGAGCGTGCATCCCTCTGCTTGCAGCACTGCAGGCCCCTTTGCTCCTGGCCTCTCGGGGCGTTGAAAACCTCCCCGACCATCTCGCGCTCACAAAACAAGCCGCACGCAGATGTCATTCATTTTCTCCGCAAATGGCGTTGCCGCGATGAATCACCTGCAAGTAATCCACAACACATCACCCAAAGTTTCTTTCCATTGCCACAAAAGAAAAAGACAAAAATGCTTTGAAAAGTCAACATAAAAACCGCTCCGCCCTACTCACTGCGCATTGCCCCGCACACGATCGTTGTTACTCGCCCCTCCGCTCCCCTCTCATCCCATTCCTGCCTGCCAGGACGTAAATCACAGTCGCAATCCCTCCCAAGAAAGACTTTACCACGTGCTGGCACAAGCCACATTTTCCCTTGCATCCCGGTCTCCCGTCCACAGGAGGGCAATCAGGGGGATTGCGTGCATGTGCGTGTGGATGGCCATGTAAAAACCTCATGGAAATTCAAAGAAATACGACAGGCAGAGCGACCCCGTCCACGGATTGTAGGTTCACTCGTACACCGCAGCAGGAAGGAGCAAACGTCCTCTCGTTGCTTTTCTGAGAGGCCGATTCATTACCATCACGCCGCCTCAACGGCGTGTACCGGCGAGCGGAGGAGATGACTGCTCAATCGCACCTCGTGTCGGAGGCGCTCACAACGTCTCCCTGTGGCCACGTGCCGTCAGCAACAAGCCGCATGGCAGAACGCAACACAATTCACCCACTCGCCAATTAAATAAATAAAAATGCATCTCAGCGCCATAAAACGGCCATCAACATCCATTTCACGGCAGACACCAAATGCCAAGGGATTAACTAACAAAAACAAAAACGCGGATGGTCTCCCACAATACATTCCAACAAAGGATAGTCTCTCAGTCCTGGAAATAAACACCGTAAATTCATAGAAGCCGCCTCATCGCGCCAAAAATCGTGTGATGCCCCTCCTCGCAATGCTCTGCTGTCCGCAGACACCGCCCTCTGTGGTGTTCAAGCAAAGAAAAAACGTTCAAAAACCAACAGCAAGAGAAACCTCCACCCGCAACGTGTGCATCACCGTGGAGCATCGCCTCTCTCCCCGCAAGTAAAACAGGCGCCGTCACATCATCCGCAAGGATCGCCACAAACACGCCAAATTGCAAAGTACGCAACACGCTCCGCCGCGACCATCGTTTTCCCGATAGGGCAGCCCAGTCCCGTCCACCGTGTCTGCCGAGCAGGACACACCAGGCCTGCCGCTGCAACGCAAAAAGGATCCAGAAATACGCAACGGATCCCGTCGCAGTCGTTGGATCAGACGCCGTGTTGAGGTTTGGGATGGGCGGATGGAAGAATAAAAACAAAACGGGCAAAGGGCCCCGCGGAATCCCGCATTCCACGCAGTCCCAATGGCCAGAGGGTCCTCTGGGGACGCCTGGGAGACGCATCCGCCACACTCACACGCACCATCATTCACGGCTCCCCAATCGAATCCAGCGGGCCTCGTGAAGCACACGGCGCGCCTCAGTGGCGTGGCGAGCAGTCTTCTCGGAGAAAAAAGACGCGTGGCGATGGTTCCCCTCCCCACTTCACTTTTCTTTTTTTTTCTCCTGTTTTTGGTGGCGTGTCACAGAAGGGGAGCGCACTTCATGTCCCCGAGCCCTTCTCTCGGTGCACGCACAAAAACAGGGAGGGGAATAATAAACGAGTGGGTCAGACGGCACGGAGAAATAAATGTGCGGGAGACAAACAAACCAACAGAACAAACAAAGAGCCCGACAAATATGCACGCAGCATATCCAGCGGAAACGGGTGTCACCTTCAGTGGGTAAATTAGTGGCCAATTGCGGTGTCGATCGCCCACGATAAGAAACAGCGTTGTGCTCACAATATTTTTGGCTTGTTTTCTGCTTCCCTCCCCTTTTATTTCTCCCTCATTCATCATCATCACTTTTCTTAATTTCTACTTCCCTCTCCTACCCTCGGCAACACGGCCAAGTTTGGACGCTCCGCCCTCCCCCGTCATGCCAAATATATGTTTTTGCGCTCCTTAAAACCCATGAAGTACTCGCTTAAATATCATTCGTGTAAATAACCAAACAGAGGTGTAAATTTTTAAAAATTAAAGAAAACAAAATAAGAAAGCAAAACTTGTGTTTGTTGCCGAATCATCTTCCTTTAGTCCTCAAAGGGTGCAAAAGCCTCCTGTCGTACTCATCCTTTGGAACTCCTTGCTTCTCATCATGCCCGTGGACCCGAATGCGCTGTATGCGTGTCTCATCCTTCACCCAAACGTCTAGGGGGATCATGCCGTCATATGGCTCCTTGTACCCATCGCAGCATGCTTTTAGACCGTTCCACTTCATCATGGCATATGGTTGGTTCGTCATCAAAGACTTGACGCGACGGTACCAGAGAGCGTCCGGTAGCTCCAGTTGCTCCGAGAGACGAATATTCGAGCTGCCGCGATGCACAAATTTGCCGTATAAAACATTCTGCCCCCGAAATCCAAGCAAACGGAGACGTAAGCTGTAGTCAACATCCTCCATGTAAGCTGGGTAGAAGTTCTCGTCAAAATATCCCACCGTGCTTATCGCCAGACGTGTCAACACAACAGATGCAAAAAAACTGCTTTTGTAATACGCGCAGAAGTGCCCGCAATGCTTCGAAAACATCGTTTCACGCTCCCTCGCAGAGGCATAACGGATGCGGTCAGGCAGCAGCGCAGACGTCGACAATCGGCCATCGTTCACCGTGGAGCGCAGCACCCTCACGCCCCGTCGCAAAACGGGACTGTACTCGCTCGGCTCATTCGCCACTTCCGCCGCCAATTCATCCATGCGAGCGGCATCATGCCTCGTCATTTCATGCACATCGCGTAGAGGGTTGGGAAGGAGATCGGGTGAAAACATTACGTCGCTGTTTGTCACAAAAACAAAAGGCACTTCCTCGCGCGGCAGCGAGAGTGCAAGTCGTGACCCAATGTTCACGGCGGCGCTGTACCCGATGTTTTCCGGGTGACGACTCACAATCAGGCGTCCGGACCACCCATAGACCCTCTCGAGTTCCTGCAGGCACAACGACAGCATCGCCTCCCGCCCGTTCTGCACCAAAACCAACAGCCGGATGGGCACACTGATGTTGCACATCATCCTCCGAAAGTCCATCAGATCGAGCATCAGCGGGACCACCATCAACGGGATAACGACCGTCCCGCTATTATTTCCCCCAGCCGCCGTGTCGTTGGATCCACCACAAGCCTTTCCCCGACGCAGTGGATATAGTCCGCCATGGTCGGATCAACTTCAACATCATGAGCGGGATCGTCACCAAACAGAGGTTCCACCTCTAAACAAGCAAACATATATATCAGCATGAACAAAAAAAAAAGATATTAGAAGAAAGATAAAGCATCCTTTCCAAAAAAGGCTCGTGGCCTCGGTTTTTTAAACGCGTGTAACTCTGCGCATATCCCGTTGGAGGCAAGGCCAAGGGAGTAGCTCCCGAAAGAAAGCAAAAGAAGTATAAAAGAAAAAGAAGGTGCGCAGGAATGGCTCCGTGTCAATGTGAAAAAAAAAAGATTCCTTCCAGCGCAATGGTCGTGCACCTCCATTTAGTAAGTGAAGTGGAGGCACGGAGCACGCAGTAGTCTCAGCATGACCAGCAATAAAATAAGCAACAAAAGTAAAAATGGCTAAGAATGAAAACAAAAAAAAAGCGACCAATGGCACAGTAAAAAATGCAGTTCTCGCCGCAGCATGCAAAGCTCTCATACATCCCGTAAAAAAAAAAAAGAATGGCGAAACACAACAGTCGAGGGTGTCATCTTTAATACCACATGATTCCATAAAGAATAAAAGTGTTCGTTGAGGAGCCCAAAATGCAATGAATTTTGGAGGGCACCCAAATCGCGGGCCAACAAGCCTGCGGCACCCACCACACATCCCGCACCGCTCAATCCCCATTCCTCTCATGTAAACTCCCAAAAAAAGCACAGTCACCAGCCATCCTACATGCCCGAAAACAACAAACATATTTTAAACTGTCCTATCGACACCCGCGAATAAAAAAAGAAAATTCAGTTCAGCACGAAGACGTCGCAGGCACAAAAATATAAAATAACTGTTCTTCAATGCAGGGCATTTTTATAGCTCGGGGCAACAACCCTCCAGGCATCCAGAAAACGCGGTTCAGGATTTCAAGTCACATTTCTTGCCCAGTGTTTCCCCAATCACCTCCCCCATCACCACCGCAAAAAACAACCACAAGAAACAGTACCTCAATCAGCACCTTGGCGTAATAGCCGAATTTTCTTTCGTTATTGGTCTATTGGGCGCAAACAACAAAAAGCAGCACCACCATAGGGGTCTCCATCCGTTTGAGC